GTGAGGGTTTACTTTCTGGTTACAGGTGACTGTCTTCTTGTGTCCTCACAAGGTGGAAGGATAAGGGAGCTCTCTGGGGTCCCTTTTAGAAGGACGCCAATTCCATTAATGAGGCCTCCACCTTCATGGACTAATAACCTCCCAAATATCACACTGGGGCATTATGGGTCAACAAGAGAAGTTCGCAGGGACATAAACATTCAGTCTGTACAGGTAGTTAATAAATGATGGTATTATTGTTTTTAATAGTGTAATCATCTTTTTCAAAAAAATCATCTTAAAAAAAAGACTCATTTATTTGAAAGGCAGAGTTACAGAGAAAGAGAAAGAAAAGTCTTCCATCGCTTGTTCACTCCTCAAATGGCTGAATTGACCAGGATGAAACCAGGAGCTTCATCGGAGTCTTTCAGGTGGGTGGTAGGGGCCCCAGGACTTGAGCCATCTTCTGCTGCTTTCCCAGGCACATTAGTAGGGAGCTAGATCGGAAATGCAGCAGCCGGAACTTGAACATCCATATGGAATTTTTTTTTAAGATTTACTTATTTATTTGAAAGGCAGAGGTACAGAGAAGCAGAGGGGGAGAGAGAGAGAGAGAGAGAGAGAGAAAGAGAGGTCTTCTATTCGCTGGTTCACTCCCCAGATGGTCTCAACAGCAGGAGCTGTGCCTATTTGAAACCAGCAGCCAGGAGCTTCTTCTGGGTCTCCCATGTGTGCAGGAGCCCAAGGAGTTGGGCCGTCTTTCACTGCTTTCCCAGGCCGTAGCAGAGAGCTGGATCAGAAGAGGAGCAGCAGGGATATGAACAGGCACCTATTTGGGATGCCGGTGCCGCAGGCAGAGGCCTATCCCACTTCTGTTTTTAATAAGCCCTTAAACTCAGTGGTTAACAGCAACTCACAGGTCTGTGGGTCAGCTGAGGTCTGGTGAATGTGGCCGGGTGTGGTTGGGTTTGGCTCCAGGCTGCACGCATGCAAATCAGACTCAGATTGACTTCATGTTTTTCAATTTGGAGCTCAGCTCAAAGGGGCAGCAGCTACTCAGTTGCACGGTTATTTGCAGGCTTATGATGGGATATAAGATGTGGTGTGACTTATTCCTAATTAATTGATTTAATTCTAATTAAAAGTGATGGTCCACTAGACCATCCTAGGAGACACTAAATTCCTGTATGTTGCGGACTTTGGACCAGACAGAAGGGAAGCAATTAGAAAGCTAGCAGCTTTTCTGGCTGGAGGTTCATTTGTGGTGCTTAATAAAGCCTGTTGACACCCACAAGGTTGCCAAGGCACCAGCAGGAGAAAAGTAGTGGATGGAAGTAAGAGAGAGGAAAATGGGAAGTGGTGAATCTACTGGGGTGTAGAGTGGTGAGAGCCAGTGAGAGCTGCCTGGGCAGCTGTGGGCCTGTGCCCCACCAGGAGGAGAGACAGCCAGAGTGAGCAGTGAAGTAGCCAAAAGCAGGCTAAGGGCCCCTTGAGATGGAGATAGCAAGCCGCTGTTTGCCCCACTGTGATTTGGGCCTCACATCAGGTCAGTGGATGAGCTCATGGCTCTCGGCCTTTATAAGTAGTTGCAAGGCCCACGTTGACTTGGCTGCGGGTTGGGTTTGGTCTTGGGGGACTTATGCCATTTGGGTGATGGGTGATAAGAAGCAAGCAGCTATTAACACTGATTAACTCAAAAGGTGACCACCAGCACACAGTCATTGTTCCTGCTGGCACTCTTTAGTGCTGGGCTTTGTCAGGCTGACTTCACAAGAGACAAAAGCCATTACAGGAGAACAAATCACCTTCTTCAGGCAGTGGTCAGATAATAGAGACGCTCCAGGTATTAGCCTGACTGCATTAGTTTGATTTGTTACTCCTGTTCACCTTGTCCTGGGCATTAGCCGAGACAAAGGCCTGGAATTACCAGGAGCAGAGATAAGCTATGGATTAGAGCCCGTGAGTCTTGAGGGAGGGAGAATTCCATCTTGGTTTTTCATGACCATTTTCATTTAGCCTGATTTTTCCTGGAAGGCCAGTCTTTTCCCTGAATGTCGTTATATTCTCTTCAAATTACTGTCAGTTGTAATTCCAAAAATATTGCTGATCCATGATTTCCCATATCAAGATCAGCCTTAGTCTCAGACTTTTTGAAAATGAGTTTGGGGAAATACACTGGGATCTTGTATATTATTTTGCTTATTGAATATTTGTCATTATGAACTTGCTTCACAGAAGTTATAGTAGAACTGATATGCTGTCATCAGCATCAGAAAATATAAAAAGAGACGTATATTACATTTATATTTACTTCTTTCATATTACAAATTTTGGTATTTAAGCTTTTCTGACTTCCAGATGTTATTTGTTCTCATTATAAATGTATCATTTGTATTATAAATGATTTCAGTTATAAATATATAACTTCAGTTATACATAAATATAGCTTATTTCAATTATAAACAAAATTGAATTTTAAACTCTATAAATCAGCCATACAAATTTATCACTGGAAAATACTGAGATGATAATATCGAGAGCTACTAAATTTGTCTTCTCACTGGATTTTATGTTTACTCAGCTGTGATAATTAAAAAAAGTACATTAATTGCTGATCAATGCCTGTGATGCTATTTTATTTTTTTCTAGATGTTATGGTTTTTATACAGAATCCTCACACTCTTCAGGAATTTGGGGATTAGGCTTAATTCTAGATAAATTCTAGGTAAACTATAATAACTCATTGAAAATCTCAATTTGTAAAAAGTATCACTTTAAACATGCTTAAATGTTCAAATATTTATATTATGAAATAGTTTCTTATGTGCAAGACTTGAAATTTTATCTAAACTAAGCAGACATTAAGGAGACAGCTGTAATTCGAACATGGCAAGATACAGGAGAGACATGAAACAGAATGTCAAGTGTGATCACATTTTTAAAAATAAGAGCAAAAGACAAGGGTATTTCAGAAAGTCATGGACAAGCAAAATTAAAAGATATGTTTACTTTGATACAAAACACTTTTGAGATCAATGAATAGTTTTTTCATAATATGCAAATTTACATGAACTTTAAAAATTGATTTATGCATTTCTATTTATTTGAAAGGTGGGCAAAGAGAGAGACAGACAGACAAGGAGATCTTCTATCTGCTGGTTTGCTCCCCAAATACAACAGTTGGAGCTGGGCTAGGCTGAAGTTAGTATCCAAGAACTCAGTGTGGGTCTCCCACATGTGTGGCAGAGACCCAAGTACTTAACTCATTACCCAGTGCCTCCCAGGGCGCACATGAGCAGGAAGCTGGAATCCGGAGGTGAGCCAGGATTCAGACCCAGCTACTCCAATATGGATGTGGGCAACCCAAAACATGCAGCTGTCCCTGAACTTTTTAAAGTTTTATTTACTTATTTATTTGAAAGGCAGAGAGAAAGAGAAAGAGAGAGAGAGAGAGAGAAAGAGAATCTTCCATCCATTGGTTCTCTTCCCAAATGGCAGCCACAGTGTTGGCCGACTGGGCCATGTTGAAGCCAGGAATCAGGAACTATATCTTGGTCTCCCACATAGGAAGTAGGAACCCAAGCACTTGCACCTGCCTTTCCAGGAGTGTAAGCAGGAAGCTGGGTCAGAGGCAGAGCGGCTGGGGTTCAGTCTGTGGCTCTGACATGGGATGCTGCCGTTGCAAGCAGGGCTTAACCCACTGCACCCCAACGCTACCCCGCACGCACTCCCTGTGCCACCATGAACTTTTTGAAGATCTCTGCACGTGATTTTATGATATACAAAAAGGCCTATAAAATGTTTGATGGGGCTTTATCTGTGAAAGAAGAAATTAGAGGGAGACTTTATTTCTAGTGCTTAAATGGTTTACAGTATCTAAATATGACTTTTGGGATTACACTAAAAGCTTACCCATCATGTGAGTCACTCTCTCCTCCAGTCTGCTCCCCCAGGGCCTACTTCTGGTGAGATCCAGTCCTCCACTTAACATAAGTTCATAGGAAACTAATGGAGAGCAAAGAAAGCTCCCGGTGGAGAAATTTTGACGATCTATTTCATAAACAGTGCTTCAAATTTTACATTAATGGATCCAGCTGTTTAAACTGGAAAAAGTGGCCCCATCTTTCTTGGAAGACATTTAATGTCCCTGCTCTTCCTGTGAACTGCCCGCCTGTCCATCTCAGCCACCGTAGAAGACAAGCAGCCCAGGGCACTGCTGACACAGAGCCTTCTGTCCCCACCGCACTCTCACAGTAAAGGATTTGAACAGCACTAGAATATAAGTCATGCTCCTGTTCATCCAAAATGCTATACAAGCTCCCTCAAGTCTTTCCCATGTGAAGAAAAAAATCAGAAAAAAATAGTTACAGATTTGATAATGGGTGGAGTACCTCCTGCTCTCATCATTGCAGAGAGAGAGGAAGGAGAGAGGAACAGGAAAGAAAGAAAAAGGAAGCAGGCGAGGAGAACTTGATTCAGACGCACAGAGCTGAAGTACAGCTTCCAGCAGACAAAGTCAGAGTCCTCAGCAGAACCCACCCTCTCGGGTCTTTCATTAACTGGAAAACAAATACCCGATGTGCAGCCAGGAAGACTCTTTTTTTGTGGTGCACCTTATCCTCGGTCCCATCTTTAAGTGGCAACTTGGGAAATGGGAAGGGAAAAGAAAACAAGCAGTGTTCCTGGCTTAGAAAATGCCCTGATTATCACCAGTCACAGAGTAGTTCAGAAAGTTTGCAGAAGATGGAATTCAAATACCTGTTAATTTTGATACAAATGCCTTTTGAAATCCGTGCATCTAAGAGATCTTCAAAAAGTTCATGAAAATAGTATTATGAAAAAACTCTGCATGGATTAAAAAAAAAAAAGCTCTAAAATTAACTTGCCTTTGAATTCCATTTTCCATGAACTTTTTAAAGCTCTCTCATGTGTCAGAGCAGATACCTTCTCAGCCCAAGTGATATTGTAACAAAATTTGCCATTGATTGGAATAATTAAACCAGAAGCAGATATAAGCCAGATGAGCACTATCACTTTAATGAATGAAAAGTACAACATTAAATGAACTAGCAAACTACTTAAATTTTGCATTTATTTGCAGCTTTTGTGCAATGCAATGCCAACGGTGTTAACATGACAGCTGCTGTTTTTATATCTCTGACAAAAATGACTTTGCCTAAAAAAAAACCCAACACCTTGAAATTGGTATGCTATCAGGATTTGTTTGAATATTTGGTGAGATATTCTCATTGCTTATGCCATAAATCACAAGAAATCGAAGATTCATAAGTCAATCGCACTCTATATTACAGTTAAGCACAATCTTGTTTCACAATGCACTTGAAGGAGACTAGTTAAAATAAATCACACCTTTGTTCTCCAGATTACTTCGCTTGAAATAGTCTGTGAATGGAATCCAGCTTGCGGAATGCCTTAGTCACAAGTTTACTGATTTTAGGGAACTATTTTATTAGATTGACTGTGCTCACTTAAAAAATAGCCGGCTTTTCTGAAAACATTTATTTAAAAATATAGGAAAGGTTTTTATTGTAACTAAAAGTGCCCGAATATAATTTGTACCATGCTATAATAGTAATTATTTACAGTATGTTTTCAGGAAAAAATACAATATACAGATTCAATGCAGGAAAGAAAATACATTTTTAACACTCGCTTTTTCCATTCCTTGATTCTTCGTGGTCTATACTTGCAAGATCATTTCACACGTTTAGTTTTCTATCTGTTCCAGGAGATTTGTGTTGAAATTTTTTTTTGCTGTTAGAAACTGTGATTCTCTATGGGATCTTTTCAGCTTTGCACGCCGATTTTGGAACCAAATCTAAAATTGAGGAAAACATAGGTCTCAGAAATATTAAAGGTATTTTATTCTTCTTAACATTTCACTATCATGAGCAAAAGCTAAGCTGGAAAATAACCTGGATTCTGTCTTCCTCTAGATTCAGTTTTCGAGCTAAATCTTCTCTGATATCAATGCCAGGGTAGCAATTTACTCTAAAGACATTTTCCAATACTTCAACCTAGGAATAAGGAAATAATTCATTAAAATGTTGATAATTCAGTATGTCACCAAATGCAGGCTTTAATTTGTGAAGCAAATTAATTGTATTTAAATCTTTAACAACCTGAATGCCTATTAAAAAAAAAAGTATCCAGAAACTGTTAAAATATGATGTAGTCTGTTGTTACATTCACTAGACTTCTAAACTGAAATCCCAAAATGAATGGGCTTTTGTTTAAGCCTTTCTGTTATCATTATTGGGTGAAAAAAGAACTTCCCACCTGATTCTGAGTAAAAGCAGTTCTTGGTCTCCGGCCTCTATACCAGTTCAACTCTCTTTTCAAAGACGCTCTTTCTGAGGCTGAAAAGTAATTTTCGTATTTCATAGCTCTTTCTTCTGGCATTGGATGATCCCCAGGGTGTGGGAATGAGATCCCATTGGGAAAACTCGGGACATGGAGACGTAGGTTAGCATCCTTCCCTACGATCAGAAAAATACACCCATCTTAGATGGCCGACCCAACGCTTCACACTGTGCTAGAAGTGATATCAGGAACTTGTCTTTCATTTTTCTAGTGGAATTCTTCTGGGTTTTACAAGGGAAAAACCCTCGTGCTCAACCAAAAGCCAAAAACCAAACAGAAAAAAGGAAGATCCTGCCTTGGTGATAGAGAACAATTGGTTTTCTGAACATCATTTGTTTCTCAGTGAAAGCAGATTTAGAACCTGTGAGGTGTCGGATAGACACTGAGAGAGACCTGCGGTAAACACAGATTCTTGGCAGTTTCTGGGAGTGACCTTTATACACACTTGGATCAGAAGCTAATATTCATTCTGTTTCCCTTAGGACCCAGCTGGAGGCAGTAAAAGTCCTGGATGCTTCAGTTATTTAAAAATATGAAACCACAGCTTAACTCTATGTAGTATGAAATCAAGGCCAAATGAAAAACAACCAGTGAAATAACAAAAGAGCTTTTGAACCATCAGGTTGGGACATACCCAAGGAGCTGCAGGTGTCTGCCCACGGCCTGTGGGGTTTCATTGATGGAGCGTCATCTTTCTTCTGGTCCAGTCCTAAGATGCTCTCAATGGAAAAGGAGGTGGATGAGGGTTTGCCTTCCACAAGCCGAGCACCTTCCTGAAGATTGGGAGACATCCTCTCGGGCTGCAGACACAGCTCCGGCCTCCTCCCTACCGCCCCTGCCCCGCTAGTACAGGGCTGAGGTCTTCCCGTAGTTCACCTTATAGCTTTGTGGACAAGGGGGCTGGATTTAGGACGTCACTAATTAAAATCCTGTCTTAGAAAGTTTTAGCATGTCAATGAACACTTGCCCAGCCAGCAGCTTAAGGAGTTAATTGTTTATTTGTTTGCAAGTAATTAGCAACTAATGGCTACACCAGGGGGGCCACCTACAGGGACAAAAAGTGTTATCTCTCCTAAGCAGAACACGGACTTAACTTTCTTGTAAGAAGGGATGCACAAATGTTGCACTCTTCTTTTATTTGAAATCATTAATGTATAAAATCATGCTTTTTTTTTTTATTCTGAAGTTTATACTTGCATAGGCTCTAGTTACCTACACGTACAGGCAAGATAGGAGAGTAGTCAAGTAAGAAATAATCTAATTTAAGTGAATTTTCTTCCAAGGAAATTGGAAAAAATAATAATCTCTTAATGCTATTACAGCAATTCTGATGAAAATGACTGGTGTTCATATGCATATGTAATAGTGAATGTTGTCAATGAAAACACAATAGTATTTGGAGTGTAGCATTCTGGAAAAGGCTGGCAGTGTTATTAACACTGAGTGTAATTATCTTCCAAGTGCCTGGATTAATTCATAGGAACACTTGCACCAAGTATTTGAAATAATTAATGGACTAACTCCTTTCCTTCATCTTTTCTTTTAAACAAGAGAGGTGCAAGCTTCCCGAGCAGCTATTTCCAAGCAACTTGAAAGAACGGCTGTTCAAACCAGAGTGGTTTCTTTTCCTGCCAGTTATTTCGAGGAAAAGAACGCAGCTCACTGTATTTTCAAAAGAAAAATTTCTTTGTTGATCTTTTGAGGAACTGGAGGGAAGGTGGGGGATTTTGTGAAGATGAGAAAGCTTGCAAAAAGTAGCCAGGAATAGAATATCGTAATTTGATAACCCTGAGAAAACTTGAAATTAAAAGTACAGCTGCTAATTGGAAAGACATTTAAGTGGGCATTCTCCCTCCCCAAAGAAGTATAATACTCATAGTTTCTTGTATTCTCTTCCTTCTCTTTTTCCAGTACCTTCTTGAAGATAAATTTAAGTGCTCAGCTTTATCTCTCATTTAAACAGCTGCTGGGCTTTTTTTTTTTCTTTTTTTTCTTTTTTATGAAAGAGGGAAAGTACTCTCTACTTGAAGAGGAAATAGCCTCCACAGGGAAACACAGGGAAGGGCTCAACTACATCAGATTTGTCTCATGATGTCACAAATACTACGCTAATTTCCTCCATATGTATGCTCTTAGGTGAACAAAGGGAAGAATGGATTCATAAACAGATGAGGGTATGGGAAACCACTCTGGGGAAGAATAAACCCCATGAGTGCTTACACCTCATGGACATGTTGTTTCCAGTGTCTGGATATATAGACTGTGCCTGAGGATGGCTAGGAGAGAGAGAGAATTCAGACCTTCCCAGATTTCTTCCTCTCCTCTGAGATACTTATGCATTCATCATTCCACCACTGGTTAAACACCTCCTCCATACCCGGAAAAAAAAAAAAAAAAAAAAACCAGAATAAGATCCTTGCCTGCAAGACACTTACAGTGGTGCAGGATGAGGTGAGACCAGGTAGACAGCCACTCTAGAACAATGATAAGTAAGCTATTTAGCATGTTAGCTGGGGATAAGAATAGGACAAGCAAACAGGCGAGCCTGGTGATATGGACCTGTAACAGGAGGTTGCAGGTGAAAGTCAGAGCAGGTCTGCCTGAGGCTCTCAAGAGGCACAAAACACAAGGATGCTGCACCCCGGGTGGCAGCAAACCTGGCTCCAATTTCTTCCTTCATTAACGAAGATCTTCCAGTATTTTTATTCATCTTGAACTGATTTTACTTGGATTTACCTAATACCAGTTTCTATATGGATGAATTGAAGAAAATAGAAAGCAGGAAGGAATTTCTCCAAAAATCGGGGGTGGGGGGGATGGCTTCTCATCTATTCACTCCACAGATTTTTGTAGGGCACTAAATCTGGGCCAGAAGCTGTCACAGGTGCTTGCAGTCAGTGACAAAAAGAACACTGTACTTTTAGAGAGTGACAAACACAGTGAAAGAAATAAAAAGGGTGATGGCGTTGCAACACAGTGGGGCAGGGTATTGGTAAGTGCAGTAGCTAGGGAGGCCTGTCTCAGGGGGTGGTACTTCCGCTGGAGCAGAGAATGAGAGTGGGCCAGCAGGCTTGGGGCTGGAGAAGGATTGCAGTCAGAGGACGAGCAAGAACTACGTAAGGTCTTGCAGCTGAAAAGCACTTGGAACATCTGAAAAAAGAAAAAGGAAGTGGCTGGTGTGGAGCTGCTGGCGTCTGATGCATTTGTGGAGCCTGGTCAGGCTAGGTGATAGATGGTATCTGTGGGGAGCAACTGGGAGCAACTCGGACTAGACTAAGTTACTGGAATTAAGACTTATTCTATGCATCTGCTTTCCCACAATATGGGGCTGGGAGAGGAGGAAACAGCTTCTACACAGCTGCCTCTTGCCAACTTGAGTGATGACCTACAGGAGCTGATCCTGCTCCTGATTGCAGGAGAGCAGCGTACTCGGCGTGTGGGTAGCAGAGTTGGGATTGGTGGAAGAGGACTATAAAGGAGGAGAGAGACAGCATGCACCAGGAACATCTGAAGGAACACCTGTGCAGCCCCCGAGAGAGCCGGCCGGCGGTGTGCCGCTCCCCCGCGGAAGTGGGGAAGGTGGCAGGGGGAACCGCCCTTCCACGGAGGTGGAAGGGATGGTAGCCAACCCGGGAAGAACCAGCAGCAAACCCGGGGAGGGCCGAGCAGACAAAAGAACAGCGCAGGGTCCTGTGTCATTCCTCCACGAAGAGGGGGAGCGACATAATGGTGCCGTGACTCGGATATGAAACCTAGGCAGGGTTTAGTGTCATTCCTCCATGAAGAGGGGGAGCGACAGTATCATTTATTTATTTATTTATTTATTTTAAAAAACATTTATTTATTCATTTGAAAGAGTTACAGAGAGGCTGATGCAGAGAGAGAGAGAGAGAGAGACCTTCTACATACTGGTTCACTCCCCAGATGAGTGCAATAGTCTGAGCGGGGCAGATCCAAAGCCAGGAGCCAGGAGCTACTTCCAGGTCTCCCACATGGGTACAGGGACCCAAGGACTTGAGTCATCCTCTGCTGCTTTCCCAGGCTCAATAGCAGGGAGATAGATGGATTGGAAGTGGAACAGCTGGGACATGAACCAGTGCCCTTATGGGATACCTGCACTGCAAGTGGAGACTTTACCCACTATGCCACAGTGCTAGCCCCTTGTAATTTATCTTGAGCATGATATAAAACCCACTTTTTCTTTTTAAAAAAGTACAGTGGTAATTTCTTGGAAGCTGATCTAGAGTTGTGAAGACATTCTATGACTGGTATGTATGAAAGTCTATTTGATAACTCTTGGGCTGACTCTGGCACAGTGGGCTAGGCCTCTGCCTTTGGTGCCGGCATCACATATGGGGGCCGGCTTGTGTCCCGGATGCTCCTCTTCTGATCTGGCTCTCTGCTGTGGCCTCACTCTCCAGTGCTGGTACAGAGGCTCTTGGCTTCTGTGGTTCTGAGTTGTGGGCGTCCACGCCCTCCAAATATGTCCACAGTATCCCTCTAATTTGCACAGAGTGTCTTGCCATTTTTTCCCTAACTCTTCCTTGAGAATGCACCCTCTCCTCTTTTTTAAACTATCTTCTTCTAGACTGGAGCAGTAAGCTTCCTCCCTGCTCCGCCATCTTGGAAGCTCCCCCCAAAAAACTGGATGGTTTTCATAAAAGCCACAGCAGGGAGTTCCAGTGCAATGGGGTTTCACACTTGGCCTTTCTGGACGTGGTTTGTGTTCTGAAAACCTCACTCCAGCTGCTATGTGAAAAGGCATTAGAAAAAAATGAGTGTAGCCAAGAAGATCAGTTGGCAGTTACTTATTCAACACACATTTATTGAGCATATACTATGTGCTAGGCTCTGTTCTAAGTGTGCGGGGTATAGTGGTAAAAACACAAAGAAATGTCTTGTTCAGGGAAAGAAATGATGGTACCTGAATGAGAGACGAATAATGGGGTTTGGGGAGAGGTGCAGTTCTTCAGAAGGTTGTGGGAAACTTAATCACTGAATAATTTGGCCGCAGTTCTTCAGTCCCGGTAATATATCATACAGCCATCTCTTTGGCACGGCTTCATGGAGAACAGCGTGAACTTCCCAGGCTTGTCTGACTTGCTATGGCCAGTGGGACGTGCATGATGTTAGCAGAAGCTCCAGATGTGCCAGCATGATTGGTTTGCCCTCTTGGACTTCTGACATCACCGTGGCATCATCCCTGGGGTAGCGACTGCCCTTCAGCCTGAGCCCCAGATTGAACACACCAGATCAGATGAGCTCAGCCAAGCACCGCTGCACACCAAACCGACCTACAGTTTCTTGAGTGAGGAAATGAAATCTGGTGTAAGCCACTGAGATTTTCGGAGTTATTTTATTCACAGTGTTTTGGAGGCAAGAGCTCATTGATTCAAGGGGCTAAAGAGCATGCCTTGTTGCTGGATTTGTGTAGAGGAGAGGTGTTAGTAAAATGGCACAGTCTTATCGATGGCGCAAACTACATCCCAGACACCATCCTAGCCTCTAGCCCTCACAGCCATTGCTGGAAGCCAGGTGGCCACATGGCCCATCCTACTGGGATTCACTGTTTTTGTTGTTGTTGTTTTTGACAGGCAGAGTAGACAGTGAGAGAGAGAGACAGAGAGAAAGGTCTTCCTTTGCCGTTGGTTCACCCCCCAGTGGCCGCTGCGGCCGGCGCACCATGCTGATCCAAAGCCAGGAGCCAGGTGCTTCTCCTGGTCTCCCATGGGGTGCAGGGCCCAAGCACTTGGGCCATCCTCCACTGCACTCCCTGGCCATAGCAGAGAGCTGGCCTGGAAGAGGAGCAACTGGGACAGAATCTGGTGCCCCAACCGGGACTAGAACCTGGTGTGCCGGTGCCACAGGCGGAGGATTAGCCTAGTGAGCCGCGGCGCCGGCCCCCACAAAGTTTTAAGAGGATCTGTTCCTGAACACATGGCTCTCTTTCTCTCCATCTCCTGATCTTTCTATCTCTTGATCTTTCTCTCTCACTCTCTCTCTTGATGTCTATATTATACTCTCCTCCTCTCTCTCTTTCCTTCTTCACCCCTTCCCTCTGGTTTGTTGGGTTTCCCCCAGTAAACCCTTTCCCTTACTCCAGTGTTTGGTGTGTTTTGTGGCAGCCTTACAAGAGAGAAAAGGAGGCGTTCGAGATGACTCAGTTTTGGGGTTGAGCAAAGTACAGGTGTGGAAGCCTGGACTGCAGGAGGACGTGGAGAGAAACAAAGAGTTGTAATATGGAGAGCAAGTAACCATTAGATATAGGAATATGGGCTCAGGGCTGCAGCTCTAAGTATGTGCATAACCAGCAAGGAAATGGTCTTTTTTTTTTTTTTTTTTTGACAGGCAAAGTAGACAGTGAGAGAGAGAGAGACAGAGAGAAAGGTCTTCCCTTTGCCGTTGATTTACC